ATGCGATCTCTGCACGACAGCGTTGAAACGCACTTTCGCGGGTTGGAAGCTCTGCATGTCAACGAAGAGACATATGCAAGCATTGTTGTGCCAGTTCTGCTGGAAAAGATCCCCCAGGCCGTTCGTTTGAACATGGTGAGAGCATCCAGCAAAGATCATTTGGAGTGGTCTGTGAGAGATTTTTTGGAAAGTTTGAGCAAGGAAATTGAAGTCAGGGAAGTACAAGCGCCGATTTTTGGAACAGGGGGCACGGAACGGAGAGGCTACGCCCCACGGAGAATGGCGGACAGGATAATCGATGGTACGGCAACGGCATTGCACACTTGGAGAGCGGACAGCCAGAAACGATGCGCCTTTTGCCAAGAAAATCACGAAGAAGAACGTTGTTCTAAAATTACAAACTTGGACACGCGTAAGAGCATTATTAGAAAGTATGGTCGTTGTTTTGTTTGCATTAGGAAAGGGCATAAGGCTGTAGATTGTAGATCAAAGATTATCGTAGCATCGTGCACCAATAGTTTAGGCCCTGGTAGTTCTGCAGCATTGCAAACCGCCCTAGCTGTTGTTAATGGGAACGATAAGGTTAAGGTGCGCGTACTTTTTGATAGTGGGAGTCAGAAGACCTTTGTAACCCCCACTGTAGTGGAGAGAGCCAAGCTACAAGTTGTGAGGAAGGAGAATTTAGGGATTAAAGCCTTTGGAAGTGAGACGGCAGAGAGGAAACTGCGAGATGTTGTAGAGCTGGATTTGAGGGCTGTGAGAGGTGGTAAAAGAGTGAAAGTAGAAGCGTATGTTGTCGAGAAGATTTCAGAAATATCTAATTGCCATGTTGAGATTGTTAAAAGTAAATATAAACATTTAGCGGATATCGAGTTTTCTGATGTTTCTGATGAGATTAGTTTACAGGTCGACGTGTTAGTAGGAGCAAATTTCCTATGGGAATTTCAAGGCAAACAGACGATACGAGGGGAGAAAAACGAGCCAGTCGCAGTCGAGACTACGTTAGGATGGGTGCTCTCGGGACCGTTGAATGGTGAGTCTTTACTTTACGATTTAAACAATGTTAATGTTACGTATGTCGAAGCAAACTTGGAGAGCAAAGTAGAACAATTTTGGGATTTAGGTACAGTCGGTGATAGAGAAGATAAGGACATTTATACTGAATTTATCGATGATATATCTTATAACGGTAAAAGATATTCCGTAGGTTTACCTTGGAAAATAGGCCACAAGCAGTTACCGCCCAATTTTAATGCTAGTTTTACACGGTTGAAGTCTCAAATAAGGAAACTTAAGAACACGCCCACCTTGCTAAATGAGTGTAATAAAATAATTGAGGAACAAGAAGATCTTGGTATTATCGAGAAAGTTACGGAATTAGAGGGGCCGAAAAGGTTTATTACATGCCTAGCCAAGTTGTCGTAAGGGAGAATGCGGAAACCACTAAAGTACGCATGGTTTTTGATGCCTCTTCTAAGGAAGGGAAAAGCGGTACTTCGTTAAACGATTGTTTACATGTTGGACCTAATTTAACACCATTGTTATTTGACATACTTGTTCGGTTTAGAGAGAATAACATCGCACTTGTAGGTGATATCGAGAAGGCATTCTTAAATGTAGGTGCTCATGCTACCGACAGGGATTGTTTGCGTTTTTTTATGGGTCGAAAATCCTCATGAAAACGATTTGAAACTTGTTGTTTATCGATTTGCGCGCGTTGTTTTTGGAGTTAATGCATCGCCTTTTTTGTTGAACGCGGTTATTAGGAATCACGTAACTAAGTTTCAAGATATAGACCCGGAATTTGTTAAGAAGATGTTAAATTCTTTCTTCGTTGATGATTTATGTACGGGGGCTAAGACAGTCCAAGAAGCAATTTCGTTGTTTGATAAATCTAAGACTAGGATGCTAGAAGGAGGATTTAATTTACGGAAATGGAAGTCAAATAATGGGGAAGTAAGGGAGTACGTATCACGATGTGAAGGTAAATCGAAAGGTTTAGCAAGTGCCACTGTAAACAGTAATGACGAGGAAACTTATGCGCAGGAAAAGTTAAATATTGTCGATGGACAAGGTAAAACTAAGGTTTTAGGCTTAGTCTGGGAGGAGGAAACGGATAATTTGGAGATTGTTCTGGATAGTATAGGTACTATAAGAGGGGAGAGAGACTGTGTAACGAAAAGATCGGTTTTAAGCTCGCTAGCTAAGTTGTTTGACCCGTTAGGACTAGTTAGTCCCGTCTCAACGATAGCTAAATCATTTTTCCAGGAATTGTGGGTGGATAAGATAGGATGGGATGAGGAGTTACCTCCAGAAAAAAGGGATAAATGGGAAAGATGGGAAAAGGATTTGAAACAGGTGAAATCTATTTCAGTGCCCAGGGGTATACACCCATATAACGAAGAAACGGGTAAATATTCCTTACACGGGTTTGAAGATGCCAGCGCTAAGGCATATTGTGCTGTAATTTATCTTGTGTGCGAGACAGGAAGCGGAATTTATTCTAGACTTGGTTGTTCTAAAACTCGTATCGCCCCACTCAAGGGTCTCTCAATACCACGCTTGGAACTTATGTCGGCCAGGATTTTAGCAAATTTGATGGAAAACGTTAGAAATGCACTAAGTTTTCAGGTTGAAATAACATCGTTTAAGTATTGGTTGGACAGCGAAACAGCTTTATTTTGGTTAAATAATGCTGGGGAGTGGAAGCAATTCGTTAGACAAAGGGTAAACGAGATTCTAGCTAAGACTGATAAGAATAATTGGGGACATTGCCCAGGGAAAGAGAACCCAGCGGATATAGGAAGTAGGGGGCTGCAAGCAAGTAAATTAAAGAACAACATTACGTGGTGGGAAGGTCCCGCATGGCTTAAACAAGGTATAGATTATTGGCCTAAG